TTGAGCACAACCAATTAAATGTATAAAACGTGATTTACCCCAAATTACCTAAGATAACAAGTGACACCCTGCGGAGGTAGGCCCATCACTCACAATTAAAGGGTTGTTGGGTATCTAATTGGAAAAGCAATCTTAATATTACCAGGACCTAGATTTATTATGTTGTGATTATTTAGTAAACTCTAGCGCATCATCACAAGCATAATCTACTAATGCATAAATAAAACATGACATAGTATGGCCCCTTAATCCTAACAAACTAATAAAGCAAAATCTCCCACTTGAACCTTCATGGATCTCATCCACCTTGCTCTTTTGGGCCTTTACTCCATGGGCTTCTTGCATTAACTACAACCTGTAATTCTATTTTATTCTATTTACTACTTAAATAAAATAAAATACAAAAATAATTAATGGTACAAAGACCGTATTTAGATTACAAATGTACATCACAATGCGCAGATCGTATTTAGAATCTATTGGCCATAGTAGTTTATATATAGCAAAATAATATCTTATATTATAAAAATTGTCATATAATAAATCACTCAACATGCTTGCCTAAACTACAACATCAAATGTTCATAAAAGAAAAACATGGTCCCAAAATATCTCATATATTTAAACTGTAATTAGATAATATCCCATATTATTCATGACCAATTATAAAATATCATATATTTTAATGTAGGTATGAGATAGAATCAAATCTTATTTTAATCTTGGAAAGATAAATCATATTTATCCTCCATGATTATCCTAACTAATTTAGGAAATTCTATCCTAAGTACTTAGCCAATCACATAATTTTAATCAATTATATCGTAAAATAATTATGGAACAATCTCATTATTAAAACAATTATTATCCATACAGAATCTTTTGCTCAAAATATCCTAACAAACTTATCAAAATTAACAACTTTAATTTTGAAAACTTATCTTTTTCAAAAAAAAAAATCTGATCTTGAATTTTAAAATAAAATATTTTTTTTGAAAACCGCGCCAGCCACTGTGGTGTGGCCAGCCAAAGCCAGCCACGGTGACTGTACACCTGTATGGTGTACGCTGCACAACAGCAGTGCCGCACAACTCTTGCATGGTGCTGCTGATGCTCCTCCTTTAGCGGACCTGCTGCCCCACCCTTCCCCTCCCTCTTAGACCACCACCGGCGGCAGCCACTGTGTCTGCGCCACCCAGCCACTGCCGCCGCCTCAAATTAGCCTCAAAACAATTTTTTTTTGAGTTTTAATTTAATTAAAACAACTCTTGCTATAATAAATTAAATTGGTCCAAGTTAATAAAATTAAATCACATTCAATTTTAGAATTAGGGTTCTTCATGAAAACAATTCCTAATTCAATTTAACACTTCAATTAAATCATTGATCATGCAAAATTCACAATTTATACATGAAATCAAATAAATTAAATTCATGAAATTAGGAACTATCGAAATTACTCAAAACACAAAATCCAAATTTAGGGTTTAGGGTTTCGAAAATTTCGAACTAGGGTTTGGGGGGGTGGTCGAAATTTTCAAACCAAATAGGGTAAAAATCAGTCCATTGTTAGGCTAAATTAGAGCAAAATAAATTACATTTAATGATTCCATATGTTAAATCACATTTAAAATAATAATTGACCCATAATTAAATTATTCTCCCTCTTACTTGAAGTAAAATTTGTTGACAACAAAGAATTATGATCAATATGTGTACATGCATTAGGCTAACTCATACGATTATAGGACTTTAAATACTCTAAGCGGAATTGCATGAATCGTATTCATAGGCATCTAAAAGAAGATCTATGCATAACACACAAAGAACAAATAATTATACCTTTGAAGCGTAATTCCACGAGTGATTGAGCAAGAACAATAAGGAGAACAAGATCCCCAAACGTGATTCCTCTACTTGGTCCACGGATTGAACCTCCACTAATGTTAGTTAGTTGTGATTGAACCCTTCAATCAACCTTCTACGGAGAGGAGAGGAGACAAACAAGCCACAAACCACCACCACCGTGCGTCCGCCGGCGCCGATGTCCGTACCATACAGACTAAGGGAGTGAGAGAGAGAGGCGTCTGTGTGTGTGTGAGAGAGAGAGGGGTTGGGAGTTGGTGGCTTGCTTCACAATCTATTGCTTAGGTTATTTGTGACTTGTATGCATAACCTAGGCAAGACCTCTGTTTATATATCTCATATATAATTAGAGTCCATGTGAAGCCTAAACTCCTAACCCAATCCAAACTACTCTAGCCTAACTACTTATGTGGCTTATCATTACCTTATGAGGCCCATGAATGGGCTTCATACTTTGTTCAATCCATAACCCTTATGTGTGACCTTAAAGGATCCATTCTATTGGGCTTTAGACTATTTTACTAGCCCAAAGATCATTTATCCTATCTAGCAATAGACAATGACGATTCAAAAGAATGAACTAATTATTTTCATAAAAATGACCCTTGATATAACTAGTAATTGCACTTGACGAAGACAAAAATCCTTCACATAATACATAACAATTTACAAAAACTATAAATAAATAATGTTTTCAATTACGAAATTAATGCAGTTTTTCGAGGCATCGCCTGAGCCTAAAAAAGTAGTTATATAATGTCTATATAATTTTTGCCAATACGTAATTAATAATATTAATATCAAAAGTTAAGTATGTGCTGGTAAACATGTCTAAATAAAATGTGTCAACTAATATGAAACAGAGGAAGTAAGTGATTTGTATATTGTATTAAGTTAATCATAGAGATAGTCGGGTTTTTTTTTTTTTAAAAAAAAAAATATTTAAGTGGGTAATCAATTTGGAAGACTTTGGGGGAATTGAGAGGAGAAAAGGAATGACCTAAATGTTAATGAAAAACAAATCAATAAAGGGAGTTAACGAACCCTTTTGATTCCCTAACCCTTTCCTAAATAGCCAATAACAAAAACCCTAATTATTCTGGCCTTATTAAATTAACTTTATATTACATGTGTGTAGAGAATAATTCAAAAATCCACTTTAAGCCCCACTGTGATCATGAATTTAAACACGGTGGCGTCCAAAGGGAAAGAAGCTAGAGATAAAAGAGTCGCCAACAAGTTTTAAGAACTTGTAAACCGTTCACGGGTTTGAAGGTTACACCCCATTCACGATCATGGAGATCGCTAACTCCATAGTGGCCGAGAACCATTACTGGATATTCGTGGATGATGGTACGAATCCAACCTAAAAGAGATTGAACCCGCCCTAAATCGGCCTCTACTTAATTCTTATGATATTCATGTGCGCTTTCCGATCAACATACATACAATAAATTAACCCTAAGCATATTTAATCTACGTTGGTTGATTATTAATGCACAAATAAATCTATTATTGGTGATCACTTGAATTAAAATCATATTAAACCTAAATCAAATTATTAATTATCTTATTAGACGTGATTTCAAGTGCAAATTCCCTTTAAACCTGCAAGAAAGGAAGTGATCAAGCAATAACAATAAAATATCAAACAATGTATAATTGACATAACAAACATCATTATAATCATTATAATCATAATTAATAGCAAGATCCTAGGAATGATACTAAACAGATTAATAACAAACCCTAGCATGTCACTAAATAATAAAAATCAAAACTTTATCCTAAACATGATACTAGAAAACATGATATTAGAAATATTAATTAACACCCGCAACATGATACTAAGAATCAAAATTAACATCCTAACATGATACTAGAAATCACAAAAGCATCCTATCATGATATTAGGAATTAAAATAATATTTAAGCATTAGTTCTATATCAAAAGCAAGGAATAAAGGTAGTAGATCTACTCACTTTGATGCCTCATATCTCTTTCTATCAAAACAATACACACGTTAGTAACTTTAAGAAAGATAAATCAAACCAATAAATAAATAAAATAAGAATTAAAATATAGATTTGGGACCAAACCCTAAGAACTATCAACCTTTCACGTCGAGGTTGAAGGCAACTTTGAGAAGGACTTGGAGTTTTCAAGTCTCACAAAGGACGTATGATGTGTGATGTGTTTAGGCTAAGGCTAAGAAAGAGAGAGAGAAAAGTTTATAGCTTAGAGAGGGATTAAGATGATGATTTTTGGTGAATCAAAACGGAGGAAAACGTCCTCTATTTATTGTGAAAAGCAAGGGAAAAGATCAGAAAAAGAGTCAGAATACAACTCGAAGTAAAACTGATTGTATCGCAAAACGATAGCTACATCGCGACGGGATACTTATATCGCTGTACGATATTAGCATCGTTCAGCGATACTTTTTGAAAGATAGAATCCGTACAGAATCTGAATTCCAATCAAATTGGGTTAATCGTATTTCCGTACGCATTCTAGTTTTATCATAATTAAATCTATTGAAAAACAAGTGTTTTATCCAAAGTAAAAAACTTAAATTTTTATCTTTTCAAAAACAAGATAAATAGAACCTTCTAGAAGAATTCTATAAGCTAATAATAAATCCTAAGGGATTTAGGAATGGTGTTAAGGATAATGGACCCTTCGCATGATCATTGGGTCGAAGGTAAGGTTCGGTTTGGGTCCAGTTTAGTATTTTGGCCATAACTTCTTCGTTATAACTCGGATTTGGGCTTATAATATATCGTTGGAAAGCTCTTTCAAGCCTCATCCAACTACTCAATTATTGGACAAGAATTATGAACCAAGATAAACTGGTTTGGACAATTATATAAAGTGGACACGAAATGAATTATTTTCAAAGACACGAAATGAATGATTTTGGATTAAGGACACGAAATAAATGATTTTGGATCAAGACATTTAAGGAAAGTTTAGAAATGGTCAAGGCTAAAGGAAATTCACGAGACTCTTCACCTGACTCGATAATCAAAGACGTGAAAGGTACTCATCACTGGGTTTGGTTTTTGGGGAGACACAATCAGGTGTCTACAGAAGCCTCCACTTTAACTAAGTTAAGAGAAACGTAAGTTTCAAAAACAAAAGTCAAAGTATATTGGTAGGGACGGAGAATGATTTAGAACGTTTTGCGATCCTAAATCATTTTTTTTAACTCCGATACCTACAGAAAACATCAGTTCTACAAATAAAGGAGTTTAAGGAAAAATGCGTATCTGACACCAACGTATCGGTAGCAAACACTTTTTGCAGCTTTCCACGTGTTGAGAAATCCACCAGATGATAATTTTTTGCGCCCCGGGAATTTTACCGTGAAGCACTACGCCTTGAGATAATCTTCCACGCCTTGAAAAGACTGATATGAGATAGATTCCACGCCTCGGGGACCCCATCACGAATCACTATGTTTCGAGCAACTCACAAGTGAAAGGTGACAAGTTTCCGCGCCTTGGTCAACATTTCGTAGATTCCTACGCCTCGAGCGACCTGTTGAATGATGATTTTCCACGCCTTGGGAAGTCTAATCTGGGACAATCTCCATGCCTTGGGAGCCCTATCGTGAACTCCTATGCCTCGAGAAATTCACAAGTGAAATTCCATACTCCGGGAATAACACTAAACATAAACGCCTTGGGATACAGTCGTCGTCTTCTATGCCTTAAGAAGTACGCAATGATCTACAATTTTCCACGCCTTGGGAGAACTTGTATAGTAATTACGTGTCTCTACGCCTTGAGAAACTTGTGACACAGTCAATCAAGTTGTTTTGTTTTGACAACCTCCATATTCTCAGTGAGCGCCATGGAAGACAACTATGCTTCAAGCCGTCTTCTCAAATCAAGGTGACAACTTCAACATTTTAGGGAACGCTGTTGAAGACCACTACGCCTCGACCTGTCTTCTCAAATCCTCTCGTCTTCACACCTTGGAAGTGATAGGTTCTCACGCCTTGGAAAACCTACCATAAAACCTTACTCCTCAAGATTTTACCGAGCTCAAATCAATTTCGTAGAAATCTTCTATTTTAGAAAATTCTTGATTATGATCAATCACTACTCAAATAATGTGGTCAATCAATACTCAAATATGCTCAATTAATCAATATGATTGTCATCAGGCCGATCATCAATCAAATGTGATTGTAATCAGGCCAAACATCAATCGAATTAATTGCTTAGAGGCTAAATGGCGCGCCATAGAGCTTAAACGGATAAATGAGGTCCACAAAATCAGCGTATGAGACCCACAAAGTCTAACGTGGCCAACAACAGACGCATCGCGCAGCACCAGGTTGTATCGCGTTGTGTTGGGAGTATCGCCTCGCGATATGCATATCGCGTCGCGACAAATTCATTGCGTCTGCTGCTTTCATTTTGTTCGTTCGCTCGCGGAACTTCAAGTTGCACGTTCTTGATCGTTTGTTGACCAAATTCACTTAAATATTTTGCAAATCTTCGCATTTTCTCTCTAATTTACCGATCTATGTAAGTTCTGGTCAAACTTCTCTTAATTTCGGCAAATTTTAGGCGTTTTATTTGCGATTTTTCGGGAAGTTCGAACATGTTTGTGTTAATTTCTTCAAGTTCTGCCGAATCTCTTGTTTTGAAATTGCTTGAACATGTTTGTATATTTCTTCGTGAGTAATTTGAGACTAGAATTGCTTGATTTGGTGAAGAAACGAGATTTCTTCCATTGTTGAACAGTCTAGGTTCGTGAGTACAATGTAACCAGTTCTTCGTGATTTTGCTTGCTCTTTGTACTTAATTTGTTGCAATATTTGCCAAAAACTTGTAAGAAATTGTTTTAGCGCTCAAAATTTTTGTTATCGTGCAAATCAAAATCATGCTCTGTTTTTGTATTTTGTACTCTGTTTTTTACGAACATAGTATCATGCGGCTAAGTGAACTTAGATACTATAGAACCTTTAATTTATTGTTTTTATGTCAACAACAAATAGGTTCCAACCCGTAAGCGACGGCAATGGTGCTTCTACCAGCCAGGGGTGGTCATTTTAAAGTTGGACGAGCATACCCTGGCCTTTCAGCCAATTTACACATTTCCCAGCGCGTCCGGCTGGGTATCACCGATGAGCACGTTTGTTGTCACACCTCAGGCAACGATAGCATTTCGTACATTTATCGCCATTGCATTGAGAGGAATGAGGCGATGAGGGCTCTCTGGGAGTCTTGCGGGTTGACACCTCTTTTCCGGGTCGCTACGGCTGTTCATCCTTGGCGAGATAGTCATTGCATTGTTTGGGGTGTCGTGGAGTTTTTCTGGGATACCACGAACACTTTTCATTTCCCATGGGGTAAGATGACTAATATTCTCCTCGACTTCACTATTATCACTGGCCTAGAGTTTCGGCCTACTCCGCTTCCTGCAGACGGGATGCATACTCTAGTTTCTCCCGAGACTGCGTAGTTGCTAGGCCCTATGATCCATCGAGCCGCTACTAAGGCTCAGAATTTAAACACCAGCATAAGGTCAACCCGTAGGACGCTACTTACGGAAGCTTTTGATGATGATGCAACCACTCAGGAGCAGCGGGTGCGTATCTTTGTTCTCATTCTCATGTCGGGGACTTTCTCTCCTGACAGGGGAAGTCGTGTCTTATTGCACTATCTCTCCTCCTTGTGCATTCTTCAGCTGATCGGCACGTATGACTAAGCCAGCCTTGGCTATGCTGACTTGCTTTTGGGATTGCGGTTGGCCTATCGTCAGCGATAGTGTAGTTCAAAGATTACTCTCTCTAGTTTCTGGAAAATTATAGAGACATGTGTCCTTCTATTTTGGTGGGTTTAGTTTTCTTCTCGATATTTATCGAGTCTTAGGTTTTCTATCTCCTTGCAGGTCTGCCTCTACGAGTACTTCCCTTCTTTGGTGCCGGTAAGTCCTCGAGCTAGAGGGCTCCCTATCGTAGCTAGCTGGTAGGGACACCGAGTTACTACTGCTTCTGTTAGGGCTGTGATTCTTAAGGTAAATATTTTTTTCTTTTGTTTCCTTGTCTCTTAGGATTTCATCGCGAGTTCCTAACTTATTTCCGTTGTTGTAGCACCTTGATGTTTAGTATCGTCCATGGGCTGATTTGGGTGATTTCAGGTTGGCTTCTCAGTATACTACTTAGAGGCGTTTCTTCTAAGGTACCTATGATGTAGTATGGTACCTGGGCGAGAGGGTGGCCATTCAGCACTTCTTGACTGTTCATGTAGTTCCTGCTAACCCTCCTGCTCAGATGATGAGTTAGGAGCGGCTCTGGATTCATGCTGCCATCAGAGCGATTGGTGAGGACTAGCGGATATATAGTAACCCCGACCGTCCTTATGTGGAGGTGTTACCTCCTCGGCTAGCTTCGCCACCCTACAGTGAAGAGGAGGTTTGTCGTTCATGACTATCCATTTCGTCTTTTCTGTAGCACCCAATGGTGATTTACCGTTGGACTTTACTTTTTGCAGGAGTCGGAGGAGCTTACGGAGTTTGTGCCTTCACGAATGTCCATCACTTATTAGGGGACCTATGGACTAGTCGAAGAGATGATTCCTCCAGCGCCGAAGGAGTGGCGATTAGTGTCCTAGTCTATTCCTTGTCACCAGACTTGGGTGAGCTCTCACTCTTCTTATTCGGTGTACCTGTATATTTTGTGTTTCCCTGACTTTGTCTATTTTTGCAGTTCTCTCGCGAGGTGGTGACGCGGATGACAGCGGCCATGGGCGCCTTCCCATACCAGCTGGTGAGATGGAGTCATTGAGTCTCGTGTCGACGTACGGATGAAGTTGTGCCGGTATGCCTTTGTACATTTGCTTTTATTTGTTCTTTTTTGCCTTTTTATGCCTGAATCGTTTTGTTGTTTTTATTTCCGCCTGCTCCTTAGCCATGCACTCGTTGAGGCCAGAGAGCTCGAGGGATCGAGGCGTCAGCGTACCTCTTTGGAGACCCCAGTTAGGCAGAGGCGTCCAGTCAGGCCGTGGTTGAGGATGATAGCAGCTCATCGTCAAGGGATGTGAGGCCACCTCGTTATGGTACTCTGGTGCTCTGTCCTCACGAGTCCCCGAGTGTTTTTCTGGCTGGTCCGTCCTCTCGACCTGGTGATGGGATGTACGAGGTAGGCTCGTCATCGCAACAACCAGAGTCTACACCCTTTGCTGGCGGGAGTTTTCAGCAGTACGGGCCACATGGAGGTACTTAGTGGACTGTTCTTACGATCACAATCTCGACGACTGGTGGTGCTGATACTGATCAAGCGTGGACTCCACGTGGTGCGCAATTCTATGATGTCATGGGAATTCCTCGAGATTTGCGTCCTCCAGCGCCATAGTTTCTCCTGCATGTATTTTTTGGACTTTCTAGGACTTTGCTCATATTTTGTATATTTTAATAACTCTTTTATTAGACTTATGTGTACACTAGACTTTACTTATTATGTACATTCTTTAGTCTTTTTATTACCTTGCATTTATTTATGTGCATGTGCGTGAATTTTTGCGCAAAAATTTAGTCATTTTTATTATCATTGGAGGGTATCCTACTATCTCCCCCCAAAAGAAAAAATGAAAAAAGAAAAAAGAGGGAAAAAAAGTATAATTAATTAATTTCGAAATTCCTTAAAAAAGAAATTTCCCAAATAAATTAGGATTTAGAGAAAAGGTTGAATTTTTGTAGGAAAGGGTGAAATAAAAGTGAAGAAGGTTAAGATTAGGTGAAATTCGGAAAAAATCAAATTACAAAATCGAGTCAAAATCAAATCGATGTGTAAAAAAGACGCGCTTTTATATCGCCAGCCCTGGAAACTATCGCAGCGCGATGGATCCGGGAAAACCGAGTTCGAATGGGACTCGATTTCTACTTTGATTTTGCTTATAAAAAAGCCCCTAAATACGCCATAATCAACATAATTCGAGTCATTAGCTTCTAAATCTTCCATTCCCATTAGTAATCATGTCTAATAATTTTTGTGACACAACCCGTGAGTGGTGTCGGTCTTTGACCGCTAAGGAGAGAAAATAGCTTGACTTTATTCATATGGGGGATTATTTGGCATTAAAGGGGTAGATTTTGATATTGACTTTATTCATACCACCATAGAATATTGGGACCCCAACACCCATTGCTTTAGGCTAGGTAATGATGAAATTAGCCCCTTGTCGGAAGAATTTGGTGCTATCTTTGGTTTTCCCTCTGTAAACCTTGCAGTAATTCCCACGGTGTGTGAATATTACTATAAGGATTTTGAGTGTTATTATAATATGAGGGAAAACAATTTGGAAACCATAGTTGATGGTAGTGAAGTTGACTTAAGAAAGTTTGCATCTTTTTATTTTAATAGACCTAAGTCTGACCGTTCCACATATATAGAAGAAGAGCCTTCCTTTATTGCATGTTTATTCAATTTCTTCTTACTAGTGGTAGTATTCATATGGGTCAAGTTATTTTGGCGTTTGTCATAGAACAAATTGACGCTGGGAGAAACCCATTATATTAAAAAAGAAAAAATGTTTTATGATTGATATTAGAGAGGGAGGGCAGGTGGATATTATTTTACAAATACGGGACACATCTTTGTATCCACCCTAATTGGAGTAGGTATGATTCATATGAATATGACTTTGATAGGTGGTGAACTAGTATAGGTATCAAAAGTCATACTCAAAGTATTGGGAAGGTAGTGTATTTGAAATTATACTCACCCCATATCCACCTATCCCATCCCGCATTTACCCGCCCACACTTTAGATTTACTCGTGTGTCTAATCCCTACTTTGTATTAGGCCTCTATAAAACTATTCGAAAATCCGAAAATCCGAGCCGCAATCGATCCGAATTTTTGGATATCCAATTCGAGTTTTCATTTCGGATTGGATATCCGATCCGAAAAAGCGGATATCGGATGTAGATTTGGATATTGATTTTAAAATTTTCGGATATCCGATATTTGAAATATAAAGGCTACAATAGTGAAATATATATAAAACTTTTAAATTGTTCATACAAAACTGACCCTGTATTATTAACTTACGAGATTATCCCCGTGTGATGCACGGTTTTAATAAAAAAAATTATAGTATAAAACTCGTATATACAATGAATCTTTTCAATTTTATCATAAATTCTTTGGAAGGAGATTTCTTATAAGAAATACAGTTTGAATATTTCAGGAAATTTCTAGACGTTTGAATATTAGTGTTAAGGAATTGAGGAGAGAGAATGATAGATCTTTAAATCAAAAGAAAGGAATACAGTTGCTATTCAATTTACTATACTTCGGTTTTCTAGAGTAAAGTTGTTGAAAGATCTTAATTAGCTTGTTTACGAAGTATCACACAAAAGTAAAAAATAAAAAAAATAAAAAAAAATCCTTTCAGAAAAAGAAAAAAAAACCATCACAAAAAAATGACATCATCAACGATTTTAGGCAGGAAAAAAATTCATAAGAAAGCGACACGTATATAGTTTTGAGGAAAGATGATATCAGCAATGTTTTGTTTTAGTAATATTTAACAGATTCTAATATATTTAATATATTTGATGATAATATTTATTGCAAAAAGATTACTATTTAGTTAATATATATTGTACAACTTAGCGATAAAAAAGCGGAAAAATGAATGAAATTTAGAAAGTAATCATAATCAATTTTACTTAATATTGAATAATGGATATCCGAATCATCCGATCCGAAAATTTTGAATATCCGAATATCGGATATCTGAAATTTTCGGATCGGATTTGGATATCAATTTCTGATATCCAAGTATCGGATATCCGATCTGTAAACAGGCCCACTTTATATCCATTATCCATAGACCATAAACATCTAAATACAAGTAGTTTTTTGTAAAGTAAATATTTTTAAGTGGGTGCAAGTGAGTAGTAGGCAGATAATAGATAGGGACATGTGGGTAATATGATAATCAGGGTCGATATCCACTTAGGTGGTGAAACGGGTGTAGATTAAAATTTATACTCACTCGGGTGGATTTGAATTACACACGTGCCATGGGAATGGGTATTAATGTTTAGGTGGGTATGACTTATGACTAGAGCAATTGAGCATGGGAAAAGGAAAGATATATCTGCACTTGCACCGCCTATTTACCATCCCTATATTAACTAGGTATACCAATCTTCAATCACATAGATTCTAATGGCTGCCATTACACAATAAAATCCCTAGTATACTACTTCATAGTCCATACTACATATTTCTAATTTTCAATAGTTTCACGTGTTAGTAGTTTTGATTCTATAAAAAATGACTTACGACTCTTCTATTAATGAATTAATTTTGCATTAAAAAAAATTAAAAGCAGCTAGAGAAAATAGCGATAGGATAGAGACATACCAAGAGGCTAAAGCCAGTGACAGCAGCAAGAGAAACAACAAGGGCAGTGCTAGAAAGGTAGAGCGGGCCCGAGATGACCGACCATCATCAAGGTTATGACTTGAATCATGTTCTGTGACATCATCACAACCACCATTGGACCTGCTACATTACTCACTCTTTTTATTTCTTGTAATATATCTTTCCATCCTACTTTTATTATTATTATTATTATTATTATTATTATCCCTTCTCTTCCTTTTTGTTCTTCCTGCTTCAATAACAACTCCTCTTCCATTTTATGGTTTTCTCTCTCTATTGTGAATTCTGAAGTTTGTTTATATCGTACCAACTACCAACTTTAATTCGTGTGTTTTTGCATAAATAAATTACTCTGTATTCTATTATAGTTTGACTAGAAAGGGTCTTGAATAAATCGACTAAATTGGTAAAAAAACAAAAGAACCTTAATGACAATTTGGTAAACAAATCACTTCGACGACAATTTGGTAAAAATCTTAACATTATGTGACAATTTGGCAAAAAAAAATAACTCAGGCGACTTTAGATCATTTTTTTTATTTCTTTTTTCCAGAAAACTCTTCAAAAGTGCTAATTAAATTGTTTTGTGTTTTCTTAAAATTATTTCTTTTCATTTAAAATTTAAATTATTATGGCATCTCCTTTTTATTTTGCTAAATTTTGAATTACATAAATTTATTTCCAACCTTTTTTTTAAAGAAAAAATTGTTAAATAATGGGTAGAAAAAATAAGTGAAAATTATTATTTAAACTTTTTTTTCTTCAAATTTTTATTTCCTTAAAATGGGTTGGAAATTTAGTTGCAAAAATATATTTTGTTTTTTTTAAAAAAAAATACCCACAAAAACGATAGCAATTGCAAGCAGTTTGTTGGAAATTTTGTATTTTTAGGCTTAATTGTCGCCTGAGATTATTTTTACCAAATTGTTCAGATTTTTTTACCAATTTGTTGTCAATGGAATTTTTTTTATTAATTTGTCGCTAAGGGTTTTTTCTTCTACCAATATGGTCAATTGGCCGATCTTGGCCTGTGACACAACCTATTATTTGGCAATTTGGACAAATGAGTTATATCTGATTTCTGAAAATTCGATTCACTTATACTAATGATTTTGTATCATAGAAAAAAGTTTGTAAAATAAGTGGAGTGGAAATATAAAAAATATACTTCCTCCGTTTCTTTTTAGTTGACACGTTTCTTTAGTCACGTTTGCCAATGCACAACTTCAACTATTAATATCTTTAATTACCGATGAAAAAAATTATGAAAAGTTGATATTTTGAAAATATATATCGTGACAAATCTAACAAGATCCCACATGAGTATATTTTTCATTACGTATAAAGCACATAACATGGTCAAAGAGGAGTGAGTGAATAGTGTTAAAGTCAAAATATGTCAACTAAAATAAACAAAGGTAGTAGATAAAATAACAATTAGATACCCTATGAATTTGTGGAATGCTAAAAGGTTACAATTTGTGCTACAAAAAAATTATCACAAATCACAATCGTTATGTGTCTGGTCACGATGTGTGTGTTGACTTGATTGGGTCTTCTCCTTTGACTCAGACTGGTTTTCTGACTTCGTACCTTGCTAGGCGAGTTGTGACTAATGCGGCTCATCGTAAGCGGGTCAAGTATGAAGCTAGTTGTAAGGAAATTGGGTACGATTTCCTTCTTTCTCTTCTCTTGGGGAATTAGAAAAGGAGGCGGTTGCATTGCTGAATCGAGTCCAAAAGTTCTCGAAGACTCAAGACATTGGGGCACGTGCTGCTGCTCATATCTTAACTAGGATAGGATTTGCTATAACTAAAGGAGTAGGGGCCTAAATTGTATCTTGACTTCCCACTAATTTTTTGTAGGTTGTATGACTTTGTTAGTTTTTTTATAATAATAATAATAATAATAATAATAATAATAATAATAATAATAATAATAATAATAATAATAATAAATAATAATAATAATAATAATAATAATAATAATAATAATAATAATAATAATAATAATAATAATAATAATAATAATAATAATAATATAATAATAATAATAATAATAATAATAATAATAATAATAATA